AGAAAAAATACTTACTAAAAAACAAAGGTTTTCCAGAAAAATTTCTGTGGCAATAAGTGAAGGCATTAAATTACACTCATTTGTGTCTTTTGACTCACCGAGACCAATAGCTCCAGTGCCAACACGTCCGCAGCAGAGCCAGATGACCACAGTGAAATGAGGCTTCTCCTGAGCTTTTCTGAGGTGGGGAGAGGCTAGAGCAGGGCAGAGACCCACAGGCAGCCAGCAGCTCCAGCGAGGGCAACTGAGGAGTCAGGAGCAGAGCCTGGAGCAGCTCTTATCACTAATGGATGGTAATAGGAATGACAGCTGTGTGAAGTGCGACCAGGTGGAGCTCAGCCTAGATCTGAATCCTCCAGGTGGATCTACTCAGCCTGGTAGCAGAACTAAAAGAGGAAGTAGAAAGGCTGTAGACCATCAGGGAGCATGAGAAAGAAATAGATTGGTAGAATCAGGCTCTGACCTCCCTGACAGAGCCTGGAGAGTTGGGCAGAGGAACCTGATGAACTTCAACAAAGGCAAGTGTAGGGTGCTGCACCTGGGGAGGAGTAACCCCCTGCACCAGGACAGGGTGGGGGATGACTTGCTGGAGAGCAGCTCTGAGAAGAAAGACCTAGGAGTCCTGGTGGATAACAAGATGCCCATGAGCCAACAATGTGCCCTTGTGGCCAAGAAGGCCAATGGCATCCTGGGGGGCATCAGGAAGAGTGTGACCAGCAGGTCAAGAGAGCTCATCCTCCCCCTCTGCTCTGCCCTGGGGAGGCCCCATCTGGAACACTGGCTCCAGTTCTGGGATCCCCAGTTCCAGAAGGACAGGGAACTGCTGGAGAGGGGACAGCAGAGGGCTACAAAGATGATGAGGGGCCTGGAGCATCTCCCTTATGAGGAGAGGCTGAGGGACTTGGGTCTTTTTAGTCTGGAGAAGAGAAGGCTGAGGGGGGATCTGATCAATGCTCATAAATACTTAAAGGGAGGGTGTCAAGAGGATGGGGCTGGTCTTTTTTCAGTGGTGCCCAGGGACAGGACAAGAGGAAATGGGCACAAACTTGAATAGAAGAAGTTCCACCTAAACATGAGGAGGAACTTCTTTCCTTTGGGGGTGGCAGAGCCCTGGAAGAGGCTGCCCAGGGGGGTGGTGGAGTCTCCTTCTCTGGAGACATTCAAACCCCACCTGGACAAGATCCTGTGCAACCTGCTCTGGGTGGATCTGCTTTGGCAGGGGGTTGGACTAGATGATCTCCAGAGGTCCCTTCCAACCCCATGTGATTCTGTGACAGAAAAACCAGAAAAGCCACCACAAAAACACAGAGCTGAAGATCTGGCACCCTCCCCCTGCCAGACTGAAGGCAGTAGCCAAAAGGAAAACTGTGAATGGAGGCAAGCCCATGCTATGGGTGGAAAGCAAACCCCCTCCTTGCCCACCTCACCCTAACCAGGTGCCTCTGTACAATAGGTATGAGGCTTTCAAGGAGGTAGGACAGCCCATGGATGATATGGAAGATGGTATGACTATACCAGTAGAGTTGCCAGGACTGGCAAGGCCTACCCCCCCCATTTAAAAATCACCTCCACGAGGAAGAAGAGTTGTAGGCGACTGCCTCCTGAGAGGAACAAAGGGTCCGCTATGCCAGGTTGGCCCTTTTCTTAGGGAAGCCTGGGGCCTGTGTCAGAGACATCACCAGGAAACTCCCCAGCCTGATTCCGCCTTTGGGGAGGGACTCTTTATCAGGGAGTGCAGTGACAGGACAAGGGGTAACAGTTTTAAACTGAAAGAGGGGAGATTTAGATTAGATCTCAGGAAGAAATTCTTTGTTGTGAGGGTGGTGAGAGCCTGGCCCAGGTTGCCCAGAGAAGCTGTGGCTGCCCCATCCCTGGAGGGGTTCAAGGCCAGGCTGGATGGGGCTTGGAGCAACCTGGTCTGGTGGGAGGTGTCCCTGCCCAGGGCAGGGGGTTGGAACTCTTTAAGATCCCTTCCAACCTGAAGCATTCTAGGGCTAGTACAGCAACTCAGACTCTCTGAGAGCTGGGTATTGGAATGCAAATCTTCTTTTTTTTTTTCTTTTTTAAATAATCCACTCTTTTCCCTTATTTGATGTATTTGAAATATAACATTCAACTGATATATGGCAAAGTTTTTATAAACAAGCCCTAGGTATTTTCATGCAAGTTTTAAGTTGAACAGCTATAAAAGCTGAAAAATGGAAAGTCAGTAACAAATAGTCTTCTGAGTATTTTTCTTAGTATGCCTTAGCTGCAATTCATATATCATGAAAGTAAAATAAACGGCACTATGGGATGGGAAAAAGGATCAAACAACAGAAGACACTGCATCACTGTGTCAGAAGAAATTTTGAAGGCATTAAAAATATCTGCTGCATAGAGGAGTGTGTGCAAATGAGACGCTGTTTTTACATGGGCTGCTGAGATTTAAAATAATTAATCTCAGAAAAGATCACTGCTGAACTATCAAGTAACATCCTTATCTCTTTTTCACATCCTTGTTTTACAGAGGAGAGAGGCCTGTATCTTTAACAGAGCTGGTAACATAATACAGCTGCTGCTAATCACAGCCTTTGCTTTTATTTTCCTGTTGTCTGCACCAGTAATTTCAGAAATCAGACCACAGACACTTGAGTAGAGACAATTTTGTAATACTTATTCTGCAACTTCAAGAGCTCTTTAGCCACTAGAAGCCTTTTACATTCAGTTAACTCTTCCTCAAAGCTAAAATGCTGCTTCTGACTCTACAGCTGTCACCAAAGGGATCTACCCTCACTGCAGCTTATCTTACAGACCATAATAAACCAAGGGCTCTCTTGGAGCAATTTATATTTCTACATGGAGTTACAATAAGAGCAAATGTCTTGAAAGGCTTGATCTCATTCCTAAATAGAGAGTCTGTAAATGACAATTGTTTTTTTAACTGGTCAGATTTTGTTTTTCCAAAATTTTATACTTACCACCCTTAGACTCTTTATTCAGATTTACAGAACCCTGCCCACCCAGCACTGCCCAAAAAAGCTTATCAGCAGAAAATGAATAAATAATTTAAAATAACGTTCTTTCAAATATAAATGTCTCTCAGGTGAAATCATACAGCACTTCCCCTAGCTGTTTAGAAGTGCAGGTCTGATCAACTGCTCTTATTTCCATATTCTGCTAAATATATAAAAAAAACACTGTCTTTTTTTTAATCCAATTTCTACATTTTTTTTAAATAAAAAAATATAAATAAATTTATAAATATAAAGCAATTTGAAGCAAACAGTGTGTAATAATTTTCATTATCCTAATGTATGCAATTCATCAAAAAAAGATAGGACACTGGACCACAGAAATCAGCGATTTGACACAAATGGCAAATGCAATCCTTGAAGGATGGTTACTAGACAGTTGCAGGAAACCTGCAGTTCTGGGAATAATTCCATGCCCTGCACAGAAAATTGCAAGCAAATCAACTACAGAAAATTTCCAAGAGTGTATTTTGCATTACATATTTCATTTCCACCACATTGATTATTTTCGTTTCACCGCTCGACACCTGTAGAAATGCTTTATATCTTTTACTACTCATTAATAAAACAAGCTCATTAAAGTAAATGAAGGTTAATTTAATCATATTCAGGCGCTATATTGGATAGCTTATTGCATTTGTCTTTTAAATAGTTTGTCTTTCATTCTACTGTCTTCATCAAACAGTATTCTGAATAATTATTACATTGCCGTTATGAAGTTACAGCACTGTTACATTCTTGTTAAGAACTTTGGGTCACCTATAACTTTTACGCAAAATACCACAAATCTAGTCAAAGCACCACAGGCTATGCAGCAAGAAAGTAATTCCCTATAGCACTATGTGCATTTCTAAGGTCTTTACCATTTAGATGATTACATTACCTCAGATTTATATTCACTACTCAGGAGGTAAATGTCAGCTGGAATCATTGAATCTCAATTTTTGTTACACCTTTCATTTTGTTTGATAGGCTTTGTACTCATTTTAATTTATTGCTCTTCCTGATGAAAGTATAAAGCAAAAAGCTGAGAGTGTAATCAAGGCTAATGGTGAACCAAATACCAGGTGATAATAAATCAGCATGGAAAAAAAAATACTCTAGAGATAAATGGAGATGTTTACTATTTCAGTTTGAACACTATTAGAACAACTGTTTATGTAAAATACAACAGTGTATACACATACAAACAAAAACCAACATTCTCTTCCTTCCTGTAAAATTAAAATTTCACCCAAGCAGCTGAATGTGGGGCTCTTTTGCAAGAAAAAAATAATGCTTTTTTAATCATAGTATGTAGCAGTTGGGAGAACAAAACATATTATGAATTAAGTATGTGGCAGAAAGACATCTGTATTTTATAAACAGGGACAAACATCCTCAAAAGCCATAGCCTCCAGTAATCCTACTACCTTATCTTTTAAAACTTATTACACCAGAGAAAATCCCCCAACTCTTATACGAAGAGGCTGCAGGACACTTAAATTGACTTTTCAGTTATTGAAACATTTTTTCCTTCATTCTGCTGTGATTTTTTTTTGTTAACTGATCTTTTATGTTCTAATAAGATGGTACACGTGGAAAAAGCAACTATAAGAAAACACCTTGAAACATTTTTTCCTTCATTCTGCTGTGATGTTTTTTTTTGTTAACCGATCTTTAATGTTCTAATAAGACGGTACACGTGGAAAAAGCACCTATAAGAAAACAACAGTTTGCCTAAGGATCAGCTACAAAACCTACCTGAAGTAAAAAAAAACAACAACCAACCTCATTCACTTCAATAATTTTCTGAAAAGGCCCCAACACAGGAGTTAGAACATCTAATAGCTAGTAACAGGTAAATTCAAATAGGAGCTTCTTTTCTAGTGTGTTTTTTTTTTTTTTAATAACACAAAGCCTGCATACAAAGAGTCAATAAAACGTGTATGACTTTTTTCAGCATTCCATTAAGATTAAACAAGCATTAAACTATATTTTCAGTACCTTTGGATACTGTTTGACAGGGATCAGAACTCTTTCTGAGAGCTTTATGTTTTTGTTGCTAATAACATCAAGGTATTTCTTTTCTTCATCTTCCTTCTTGCCTTCAGAACCCTGAAATTTTTCAATTTCTGAAAAACATTAGAAAAAGAGAGCAATCAGTGACATGGTATTTGCCATCCTCAGAAAGTTTACACTGACACATCGTAATACAGACTGTGCACCGAACACCCGTGCTGTTTGCACTCACGTGACACGTATTGTCACCTTTGAAAAAACACAGACTGTCACCTCTGCCTCTCAGCACAGCTGACAGTCCATAGATTCTCCTCAACTAATTCTTGCCCAGCTGAAACTGAAGCCAAATAAATGAACCCATTGGGGAAGGAACAGATGAGACTTACGAGTCAATCAGTCTTCGAAAGAAGATCACATCATCACAGCTTGATGCTATTTTGTACATGTGACCTGCAGGAATTAAGTCAGATTCTAATTCCAATGGCTAACCTCCAGTAAAAATAGTAAAATAAAATATGAAGAAACTTCTTGTTGTTACTGAGTTTCCTTTCAAATGCTTCAGAATTATTTAAAGGTTGTACAAAAAAATTTAAGAAATGAAGTTAACTCTTGCACAAAAAGTTACTTCATCAAAGAAATACAGTAAGTAATCATTATACATATGTTCATAATGGTATGTAGAACATTAGATAGAATTTACAAAAACAAAAATTCCCTAAAGCTCTATAAGAAAGAAATAATGGAATTTATCACTCTGCAAAGAATATATAATACAGCGCCTTAGAGCTTCCTGATACAACAGGTACTATTGAAAAAGCTGCATTTGCAGCAGTTGTCACTATTGACAGCAAAGAAAATGGCAATGTTTATAATCAGTTAATTATAACTGAGTTATAGCTGAAAAGGGACAGCTGTGGGTATGAGACACATGCAGTTTCAAGGCCCAGATAAACAAGCGCGGAAAAAAGTAACACAGTGACAGAAATCTCTAACACATATACAAGTTACTTTGGTTTAAAACAAGAATAATGAAAAATGCATGTAAGGAAACAGCCCACACCATGATTTGTTAATAAGTAAGTCTGAACAGCCAGGAAGCAAGACAGAGGAAAACTAAAGCTCGGGATGAACTGCTCCCCTTCCAAACTCGTTGGAGAAGCTACTATGACTCTCCTGTCACCGCTCCAAGTCTTGAACTTCATTTTTGACCGAGAGTACATAGAAGTTTTGGAATAAAAAAGGCATCATTGCTCAAGTTAATGAAAGATGACTTCAGCTGGGCTTTTCAGAGATGACTGGAATGTGGAAGAGAGTTGCGGATTTACCAAGAGTGAGACTACCTGTGGCACTAGAATTCGTTTCACTCCACTCTTTAACTCATTGCAGCACTCAAGGTTCTGTTTTTCTTGTTAGTTTTCTGTGCATGCACATAAAAACCCCGGGGGAAAAAAAAAGAAAAAAAAAAAGTGGCACTCTCAAGGATGATTGACTGAATCTTCATGAACACATACAAGTCTCTGGTGTAGATTGCCCATCATCCACATCCTCATTTGACTGGCCGTCCTCAACCAGAACCTCTTATTTGTTGTTCATAGGTACCCGGGAGGATGAGGTGGGCAAGGAGGGAGTTCGTCTGCTGCCCTGACCATGAACTTGCCTCCATTCACTCTTCTCATTTAGGCTCCTGCCTTCAGCCTGGTTGGGGCAGGATACAGGGGCCCCGGTTATTTTCTGAGAGGTGTCCCACATCTGTTGTTTTCAAGGAGAGCAGAGCCTGGCTCCACTGCTCCATTTCTTGTTCTGGATGTGTGTTTCTGTGGGAGCTCCCTCTGGCTGCCCACATCCATTCTGGGTCATCAGGCTGAGAGCAGGACCTTCTGCTGAAGGGAGACCACAGCTAACCACCTTCTCGGAGGGTGAGGACCACCAACAAGCCTCACCCGTCGAGCTGGCAGAGCTTCAGCTCCTTCCTGCCTGTCCTTCCCCACACCCTGCTACGCCCCACACGGCCTGACAACCACGTGCTGTTCACCCACATCTCTCTGGAGAGCTGCCACCACCAGACGGGTCTCTCTTCTCCCCCAGCCTCTCCCTGCCTCAGGAAAACCTTCCAGCCCAAACCATTCTATGATTCTATGGTTCTTGTGGTTGCAGTGCAAGATGCCTTTGGAGGAGGACTTGGCAGAAGACAATACCTCTTCCCCTGCTGCCAGCAACACTCAGGTGCCCCAGGCCACGGCAACGGCTGCTGAGGAGGACAACAAGTGCCCAATCTGCTTGGACACCATTAGCGATGAAGCCTCCATTGCCATCTGCGCACACATGTTCTGTTTATACTGCATATTGGAGTGGGCCCGCATTTCAGCTGTGTGCCCCATCTGCCGGCAGCCTTTCCACCACCTCTACCACAAGGTGGGACCCTCTAGCTACGAGGTGTACCACATCGTGCAGGATACCGGACGTGCTGCAAGAAGATCTCGGCCCCACTCTGGGGAAAGGAGGCGGCGTCCCTCCTCCGGCCGCCAGCACCGCAGCTCCTCCAGTGGAGAAGAAACAACTCCTCCAGTGGAGAAGACCGCTCCTCCAGCGGAGACCACAGCTCATCCAGTGGAGACCACAGCTCCTCCAGCAGGGACCACAGCACTGGCCATGCAGAGTCCCCAGAGAGGGGCAGAAGCAGGTCCCAAAGGCAGCACCGTGATGGCCACAGGAGAGCTCCTCATGACTCTTCAAGCAGCTGGAGACGGCAGCAGAGCAGGGCTCAGGACACTGCTGGTGGCACATCTCGTGATGAGGGCCCAGCTCCAGGGCCTGAAAGAGATGTCCCAACCTCCTCGGGAAGGAGTGAGCCCCGTCAGTGGGGAGGCCAGGTTTCCTCCAGGGAACGGCAGGCCACATGGAGCCGATTCCATTGGAGATCCCGCAGCACTCGTCGCCAAAGACAGAGGGAACACCAAAGGAGGAGGGGTCAACGTCATCCCTCAAGGAGCCGATCCCAGATCCCAGAGATGCCCCATCCTCTTGACACCCTCTTGATACAAAAAATTAGAAAATGGGATTCTGCTCCACAGTGGAGCAGTCTTGTGAGATGAACTACCTGGGAAACTGTTGTTCCCCAGGGCTGGGGCTTGTATCTTCTGGGTGTGGTCCCCAAAACATTGTGATGTCACCAGAGATATCATTGAGACCCCTGTGACGTTGATCCTTTTGGGGCGTGGAGCAGCCCTGAAGGTCCATAGTGCTGTCCTTGTACAGCAGGGACAGACGCCTGCAGCTGGAGGGACGAAGGACCCCTATCCTGCAGGCTCCTTTCCCAAGCCGCAGAGAGGACCTGACGGAGAGGGACGCCAGCAGGGCCCAGGCTGTTGAAGAGAAGCCAGGAACAGCTTTCCTGCCTTCCCAGTTCCTGCCCGCGTGTGTCAGAGAGGTCAGTCAAGATGCCGTTGGAGGAGGACTTGGCAGAAGACAATACCTCTTCCCCTGGTGCCAGCAACACTCAGGTGCCCCAGGCCACGGCAACGGCTGCTGAGGAGGACAACAAGTGCCCAATCTGCTTGGACACCATTAGCGATGAAGCCTCCATTGCCATCTGCGCACACATGTTCTGTTTATACTGCATATTGGAGTGGGCCCGCATTTCAGCTGTGTGCCCCATCTGCCGGCAGCCTTTCCACCACCTCTACCACAAGGTGGGACCCTCTAGCTACGAGGTGTACCACATCGTGCAGGATACCGGACGTGCTGCAAGAAGATCTCGGCCCCACTCTGGGGAAAGGAGGCGGCGTCCCTCCTCCGGCCGCCAGCACCGCAGCTCCTCCAGCAGGGACCACACCTCCTCAGGCAGGGACCACAGCTCCTCAGGCACGGACCACAGCTCCTCCAGCGGAGAAGATAGCTCCTCCAGCGGAGAAGATAGCTCCTCCAGCGGAGAAGACAGCTCCTCAGGCAGGGACCGCAGCTCCTCCAGCAGGGACCGCAGCTCCTCCAGCAGGGACCGCAGCACTGGCCGTGCAGAGTCCCCAGAGAGGGGCAGAAGCAGGTCCCAAAGGCAGCACCGTGATGGCCACAGGAGAGCTCCTCATGACTCTTCAAGCAGCAGGAGATGGCAGCAGAGCAGGGCTCAGGACACGGCTGGTGGCACATCTCGTGATGAGGGCCCAGCTCCAGGGCCTGAAAGAGATGTCCCAACCTCCTCGGGAAGGAGTGAGCCCCGTCAGTGGGGAGGCCGGGTTTCCTCCAGGGAACGGCAGGCCACATGGAACCGATTCCATTGGAGATCCCGCAGCATTCGTCACCGAAGACAGAGGGAACACCAAAGGAGGAGGGGTCAACGCCATCCCTCAAGGAGCCGATCCCATCGGAGATCCCGCAGCACTCGTCGCCAAAGACAGAGGGAACACCAAAGGAGGAGGGGTCACCGCCATCCCACAAGGAGCCGATCCCAGCAGAGATCCCGCAGGGCCTGGTAACACACACCACCAAGAAGGGCACCTGCTACTCTACTTTACACCAAAAGTGCTCCTACTAACAATTGCAAAGATAATGCTCTCAAGCTTGGGGCCAAGCAGCTACTCTGCGTTATGAAACACATCGGAAAATCTAAAGGGCCTTTTAGAGTTAGGATGATAATGGGATAGAAACTCGGGTGTTGGTTTTTGTATACTCTTCTATCTTACACTTCTCTATTAAAAGTTCTACTGCAGATTTCATACGGGTGTGCCTTTTCTCCTTCTGTCGCTTTGCCACTGTAACATCAACTGAAGGTTTTAGCCCTTTTGCTCCTTTCTGCCCTGCTACCAACACCATCGATGCCTTCTCAGAAAACCTCTTGTCCTTCTACATCACCTCTTGTCTCAACAGTCCACCCCAAACAACCCCCAGAAGAACTTTTCCTGTTACCACTCTTCTCACAAGGTGGCACTGCTAAGCGAAGCCAATTTACGATTAATCTGCTCTGTCGCAAAGAGATCGCCTACAGTGCCAGTCCAAATTTAATGTTTGGTAGCAAGCCTTTGAAATGCCTGCTTTCTTCTCCCCCCTCCTTGGAGACTTGAAAACTAACCCCCAAAGCCTTAGAGAGAAATTTTCCCCCATGCTGTGCTCTATAGAGAGTCTCACGTTAAATGCCCTCAGTGGGAGGGACATGCTACAGACCCTTAAGACCACATCCAAAGACTACCAAAGTCACTGGGAAACAAGTGTGGACCAAGAACATTGTCGCTTTCCAGTAGGACTGGGAGCAAGAAGAGCTTTCTCAAAAGACAGAGGTGATACAAGAAATCAAAGCGTAATCAAACCGATTCCATTGGAGATCCCACAGCATTCGTCGCCAAAGACAGAGGGAACACCAAAGGAGGAGGGGTCAAGCAGAGCCACCTACAGACCATGGCCCAGGAGCACAGACAGCTTTGGAGTATCTCCAAGGAGGGAGACTCCACAAGCTCCCTGAGCAACCTGTGCTCAGCCACCCTCGCACTCAAAAAGGGTTTCCTGATGTTCAGAGGGAAGCTCCTGTGTTTTGGTTTGCGCTCTGTGGTGGCACTGGGCACCCCAGAGACGAGCCAGGCTCTCTCTTCTTTGCACCCTCCCTTCAGCTACTGATATGCGTTGAAAAAGCTTTCTGCGGGCACATTTTCTGTTTTAACTGCATATTGCAGTGGGCCCGCATTTCACCTGTGTGCCCCATCTGCCGGCAGCCTTTCCACCACCTCTACCACAAGGTGGGACCCTCTAACTACAAGGTGTACCACATCGTGCAGGACGCCAGACGTGCTGCAAGAAGATCTCAGCCCCACTCTGGGGAAAGGAGGCGGCGTCCCTCCTCCGGCCGCCAGCACCGCAGCTCCTCTAGCAGGGACCACAGCTCCTCCAGCAGGGACCACAGCTCCTCAGGCAGGGACCACAGCTCCTCCAGCAGGGACCACAGTGCTGGCCGCGCAGGGTCCCCAGAGAGGGGCAGAAGCAGGTCCCAAAGGCAGCACCCTGATGGCCACAGCAGAGCTCCTCATGACTCTTTGAGCAGCCGGAGATGGCAGCAGAGCAGGGCTCAGGACACTGCTGGTGGCACATCTCGTGATGAGGGCCCAGCTCCAGGGCCTGAAAGAGATGTCCCAACCTCCTCGGGAAGGAGTGAGCCCCGTCAGTGGGGAGGCCGGGTTTCCTCCAGGGAACGGCAGGCCACATGGAACCGATTCCATTGGAGATCCCACAGCATTCGTCGCCAAAGACAGAGTGATCAAATAATATATTTAAAACCTGCAGACAGATCTCAAATGCCACTCTTATAAGCTCTTCTGAAAGCACTCAGAGAACACACCTAAAGAACTCAGAGGGGATACACCTTCCCAAGTTTAGCATTGAAAAGTTATGTTAATAATCACTAAAAGAATCAGAAAGAGAAGTTTCATTTTTATAAAATATTTTTTTTTATACCTGGAAAACAAGTGATATCTTGCATTCAGTGGGAAAAAACATCAATTGAGCACAAGCTTACAAAGGAATATTCTGCAGTAAAATATGTAGTTCGGGCAGGTTTAATAGATAGGAAGTTCTTTTAAGATAACTCCTCCAACACAATTATACAAAGGTTTTGCTTTCGGGGTGCAGAGGAAAGAGATAAAGGCAAAGAAAAGAAGGAAACACGTTGCAAGTGCAGTAAAAATTGGAATGAAATGAA